AGACTCGTAACTCTGCATTAGGCACCAGTAACCGGGGATGTAGTCGCGCCAAATAGCTCCAAAACCCTCAATGTCCCGGCGCCAGTCTCTATGAAGCTCTGCAGCAACAGCTGCCCAGTTAAGCAACTGGCAGCCAGCCTGAGCCATTCGTTTATGGGCGGCTTCCCTCGTGTGCCCGGCAAAGGTGCCGGATGCATCGGTAACGACAAAGACATCGTATCCCTGCTCAATCAAGGTAAGGGCAGGGAAGGCAACGCAAACTTCCGTCAGAACACCACTGCGAGACGTTAGATGCTCTGTAATCATGTTCCGCGGGCGTTGTTGACTGTATACCTGATAACAATCTGCTTCTTGCCCGTCGCCTTGACAGCATTGGCAAAGTCCTCATTGTCCATGGCATTGATTTGACCGGGGCGCCGAATCAGCGGGGCGTCGGGAAGCATGTCGGGGAGCTCCTTGACAATAGGTCCGTTGGGTCCGGTCTCAAACGACGTTGTGAGAATAGATGGGGCCTTGAAGTAGCTGGCGACCCTAGCCAGTGCAATAACATTGGTGTGGAATTCGTGAGGGTCAAAATCGCGGACCAACTGGATGAGGCCGGACTATGCAGATTGCGAAACAGTAAGCGCCGTACTCAAGACAGGAGAAGTCTCCCTACCTGGTGGTCCACAAACAGAAAGACACAGTCTTCCGCGTTGAGTCTTTTGTATTCGGCAGGCATTGTGAAATGTGAAGAGTCGGCGTAGTTGGGGACAATGAGCTGGTTGATGTTGAGATTTGATGTTATCAAGCGGAAACGAAGTCGTTTTTTATATACAATAGCTCTAGCAGTCTTGTCGATTGTACTTGTAGCTTTCCAAGGCAGAATGGCATACCATTTGTCAGACTTTGTCATGGCAAGATAAGCTTTTGTAAACTTGAAAACAAGCTTATGCAAAAGAAAATCATGGAAAATATGACACATAATTCCACTTGCTCACGCGACACCCCACTTCTTTACTTGGGTCGAGACCGGGGCATGAGTCTAATCAACGATTTTCTTACCTGGGAAATCATGGTCAATTGTCAGCCCAACAACTCATCATTCTTCTTGCCCGTACCGTTTTTCTCTCACATTCTGCGAAAAATCAAATCGCGTACGGCCCAGCGTGTATATAGCTACATGCTTTATTCGCATAAACTTGCCCTACTTTGGCCGCGAGTGTATATCCGCCAACCCTAACGTCAGCTGACCGCGTTCGTCGAACCTGCATAATAAAGTTTACTCAAGAGCGTGGTCTCGCCAACTTTGCATGAAAAATGCGCACCAAGCTAGGTTAGCGCGAATGATTGCGAGTGGAGCCTGGCATGAATTCACATGTAGTGAAAAACAAGGTGAACTCGCGATACATTTCTTTGGTACAGCGATTTTGTCAAACTAAACTTGGCTGGGTATAACCGTCCCACGGTTCCCTTTCACGATGAAAGATGCTTAACCCATGCGGGGGAGCCCACATTGACCTGGGGATATAACGGAACTACCAGACGATATACGACCATTATGTACTCTTGGCCATGGTTAGCCACGTCTGCAGAGACTGCAAAAGACGTCAACTGGTAGTGGCAAAGGCATTCCACAAGGCCCGGCCTATCCAATTGACATGCTACGCTGACTTGATTCTACCAGACTTCCTAAAGTTGGATGCCAGTTGACCAGTTGGACTAGCCTAGCCTAGCCTAGCGTCGTTTATCCCTTGCTGTTCGTTGCAGTCAAGTTGGCCTTGCCGTTGTTGAGACATGCCTGTGGCTTCTTGGCTATAATGGGAAACAGTAAATTTAAGTTGATAATGGCATCATCTAAAGTTTAGACTTCGGAATTTAAAAATAGGCTGGAACTGGAATATCCGATGCTGTCCGCCTTCATCTCCGTGGGGTACAGGAACAGGTGAGCGATCTTGTAAAGCATGGAGGTGAACAACTATGCAAGAACAAGGACCTTGTAAAAACATGATACTCAATAACATCTTAGTATTTCATAATAATGATTGCACCCTGTGATACGAGTTGTCTTGTGGTTGCCGATATATTTTACTGTCGGCTTGAATTTGTACCTCATTTGTCACCATGAGCGACCCCGCCACAGATTCGCCTGCATCCAAGGTCAAGGATAAGAAGAGCTTGGACATGTTCTGCCAAGGCAGCGACATATGTAACGGTTGGTCTCTGTGCAGGTCACAATGCTGGATCCTCCTTGATACGGCGGATGTGACACGGAATTGGCCCAATGTCACACGGTTACACAAGGGCTACGATTGCGGGACCTAGGGTAAACTTCCTCGCCGACGTCTTGTATTTTAAGACGTCTTTAGCCAACAAGGACCTTTGATAACAAAGACTCCAACCCCTCCTTGGGCCCTGGCCACAGGAAACCCGCACCTAGTCTCAGGCAAAGGTCTTGGTCTGTAACAAGCGCTCAGTGAGGGCTTGGAGCAATGACTCAATTCATCCAATCACAGCCTTTGATATTAAAGGTCCTTAGTTTTCCTCAAGGCCTAGTCGACAAAAGATCTTTCTAAATACTATAAATCGGTGGGCGTCTTCCGCCCTAGGTCCCATGATCATAGCCCTCGTGTAACCGTGTGACAGGCGGTGAACCAGGCAAGGCGAAACACGTAGGCAAGTACGACATCTTCATGTAAATTCCTGTTATTGTCTGGCTACTTTTTACAAGTATCATTGCTGTACATGGCTTTGCTGCTGACGCGAACTAGACATGGGCTCATGAGAATGGTTGTATGTGCCAAGAGACCTCGTTCCACAAGCTCGCTCGCATTATGCGCTACAGTTGCCTCACCGAAGTGATTTTGTCCGGCAGCATGGCCTTGGTGCAGAAAGCTTTCTCTATGGCTATTAACAATGTAGGCGAGAGAGTAGTGGTTGGTAACCTAGGCGATGAACATGTGTCTCATCCCAAAACTTGCGCATAGAATGCTATGCTCGCCGAGAGATTTCCAACGTTGAGAAACAAGTGATTGAGGAGGTAGCCCACGGCAGCTGAATCCGAACGCTCGTCGCTGTCCGGTTGGAAATTGCCGTCTTCATCTTGGGAAGCCGCCCTTGCTTATCTTGATCTAGTTTGGTCAAAGCGATACCTTTTGTTTGAGACACGCATATCCTGGATTGTGGTGTTGGGTCTCGAGGATGGGTTGATGCAACACAGCGCCATGGAAGGGTTAGGGTTGAGACTTCAAAGGGGTCAATCGTATCTTATGACCGTCCATTAAAATAGTGGCAATTTGCGGGAATAATACGGGATAAATGGTAAGCGTTTGGTTTATCGCAAAACATAACGCACGGTTGTGTTTGATATCTTGCTGGGAGGATTGTAATCTATCATGTATCTAGTAATAGAAACAGACATTCTGACATAGATACGAACGGACCTCGCTCGACGTCGATCACGACCACCCTCCCAACCTCGGGCGCAAGTGGGTCGTCTGTTCATAGTTTAAATATCGTACCTGAAACTCGGCAGTTTGTGGGGGACAAAGTCACCCTCCGGACTAAGAGTGGCAATAGAATCGTTGCATATGTAGATATTCAATGTTATGACAATGGAGAAAAAGAACCAATCGGGTGAATACGCCATGCGGAATATTGTGTAGCTAGGCCAAAGCACGGTGGTAGCTGTAATTCAACGAGTGAATTGTACTTTCGGGACAAAGTAACAAGTATTTCAAAGGTCGTTATTAAGGTGCGGCTAAAGGCCAGCTTCAATGATAACGGAAAGAATTACATTTGATGAGCATTACTAAAAAGACTGGGAAAGCCTTATAACGCCTCGCGCCGCAGGTCCAATTGAACTCGTAAAGTTCAATACAAATAAACTCCCCATTAAATGACTCGATTGATAATATACGATGCCTACAAAATGAGCATAAACTCTCTAGCGAGAAAGCTTCAATCTAGGACTAGCCCACTATTTAATACGATCCATAGCTGAGAAATCGTGACATTTATTTACCGGAAACCTTTGAAGGCGGACTGGAATCCGTGAAAGTCGACTATTCTTAAAGTTAAAACCTTGCTGGAAGCCTTAGAAATTCCGTAAGTTCTATCTAACCAAATTGTGTAAAGAATTAAGCTGTAATAAAACTTTATATATATTGGGTAATAAACAGGTAAAATCGGACAGTCCACAATTGCTTATAGGCTAATAATTACTACTAGATAGCCTTAGCTTTCAGTCAAGACAAAGATAAAAGGGCGCGTATAAGTCGACAGTCGAGTCAAGTGTCATACTGCGATGCCTGTTACACGAAAATGGTCCAATGTCAAAGGTTACACAAGGGCTACAGTCACGAGACTAGGGCAAAGTCCCTCACCGACTTCTTGTATTTATAGACGCTTTTGGTTCCTTAAGGCCTCAAGGAAAACTAAGGACCTTTGATACCAAAGACTGTTATTAGCTGAATTGAGCTATTGCTTCAAGCCCTCTTTGAGCCCTTGTCACAATGCCCGTCTAAAAGCAATTCTTGCTGTTCACCAGATAGGGATTTAACAGAAATATCAAGATGTACCAAAAAGCCTGGGAACTTGTGCTTTAGGGAATCTATATACAATTCAACTACGTGTCAGGAGCCGACTCAATATCGAGTTTCAAGACGCACGGCGGCGGATCATTTACATGCAATGAATCAAATAACTACCAGACGCCTAATAAGTCTATATAGTTCAATATCAGGTGCTTTCCTTGGCCGAGTTCGGAACAACTCCATCATCTTTACACTATAGTACAACTCCTTATCCTATATGCCATTACTAAATAGAGCCAAAACTTTCCAAGAAACACTTTAAAAAAACAACCATGTCTAGTACTTCTCCCTTCACCGTCCACGCTGACCCGACAGTCTCGGCCAGCTTCAAATGCCAAGCACATTCGCATCTCTTTCAAGCTCCAGCCCATCACTAGCGGGCAAGATGAGCATCTTCGCCCTCGTCATCTCTGGCTAGACGCCGAGCTACCCTACCGCCGCAATGACTGCCGTCGTAGTGGCATTGTCGAGGAAAAAGGTCCCCGGCAACTCGACACCTGTTTCCTGCTGCATGACTGAAATTATGGTAATGGCCATGAGGGAATCTATACCCAAATTCGCCAGGTTGACGTCGCCCTCCAAGTCGCTTGGCTCCACGCCCACTTCGCGTGCAATAATGGAAAACAGTGTATTGACCAAGTCGAATTTCTCCCCCTCGCCATCATCAACACTTGCTGTAGCCGGTGGAGTAGGAACCGGCAACAGCTCCGTTTGTGCCATGGTTGGCATACGTGTACTCGGCTTGGCGGCCATGTTGCCGATTGTCGGGGGGCTCAGTAGATGAGTGAGTGCCGTCCTCTTCATCTTTTGGAACTGGAGCCCCGTCAGCACCGAGACCAGCTCCTCTCCGTCATAGACGTATACATCGCCCGTTACCAGATTGCTCGTCGACCGAGAGTCCTCCATGAAGGTGTAGCTGGTGTACACAGTGGTGGGATCAAGCGGCTTGAGCAGGTGCCACTCGTCAAAGCCGGTGGAAAGGCAAGCCCACTCGCTGGAATAGCGAAGCCCATTGTTCACCAAGAAGCCCGACAAGTGAACAATCGAGTCGAGCAAGAATGGGTGGTGGAGGTAATGGCCGCCCGCGGCTGGGACTTGTGCCATGTTGATTTCCGCCACGGCATCCTGCATGTCCTCTGACAAGTGGACATTTTCTAGCCCCTGGTACTGTTCGGAATAGCGCACAACGTTGTCGAATAATCGATAGACTGCGCGTCTGCCTAGCCGGTGACTTGCGGACGCCTTGAGAGCAGCCATGCGGGACCGAACCAGGAAGCCAGCTTGGTCTGGTTTGCTTGCTGGCTTCAAGACGACCTGGCAGGCCCCGACCTCGTAATACTCGTCCGGCGTGCGGCAGTGGTACCGGATATCCGCAGTCTTGGCCGAGGATGTAAGAGTGACGGTGACTTCCACGGTCTGGGCCTTGTCCGTCAAGACAACACCCCGGTGGAAATAGCAGTTGCGGACCGTCAATGGCACTGGCATCTTCTGACCAGGAGAATGCTTCATGTAGGCGTATTGGGCCGCGGAGAGTGCCATGTCCAAGAGGAGACTGCTGGAGCAAATTTCCACATCGGCCACGGCGTGGCCTCGCACTGCTGCACGTAGGTGCTGGTCTGCTAGGTCTGATGAAAAAGTAACCGACAACCCATCGGGCTCGATTGTTTCCCTCGTGATCCGCTGCAGAGTCGTCGTGCAATACCCCTGTACCGAGGGAACAATGGCAGGCGGCTGGCTGTGCTTGGTCTCGACGTCTCCAATGGTCTGAAGGTCTCGATCGGGGAACGACGCCCAGAATTCCTTCTCGTCAAACGAGTACTTTGGGAGGTCCAGCAGGGATACCGATGATTTGAAATCCCGGTGATGCGCGGGCCAATCAATGGCGGCGCCCGCCGTATAGAGATCCCTCAAGCTGCACGATATCGACGCCCAGTTGGCCTTTCCGCGATGCATCGAGGCAACGCAGCGCAATGCAGCCTCATCGGCACCTAGCGTAGCATTTACAAGACCCGAGCACACGGGATCGGGCCCAATCTCGAGGAAGGTCAGGGAGGGAAACTTGTGCTCTTGCACCGCGCCCAATGCCCCGACAAAGTCGACGGGTTCGCGCGCCTGTCGTGCCAGGTACTCCGGAGAGAATGTTCCTTCTTCCCGGACTGTCGTAGCCAAGAGCGTGGAAACGACCGGGACATTCGGCGCGGAAAAGGTCACGCCCTGGCAGGCCTCTTCGAACTGGCCCAAGATGGGATCAAGCTGACTTGAGTGGAAGCCGTAGGGAACAGATAGGGGAGTGCACCGGGTGCCGTCCGACTTGAGTTGGTCCTGGAGATCGTCCAGCTTCGAGCGCAAGCCGCTCACGACTGTCATCTTGGGCGCGTTGATGCAAGCCACGGCGCAGGAAGTATGCTGGCCAGACGAGAGCACTTCCCTCGTGTCAGCAACGCTTAGATTCACAGCCAGCATTCCGTATTCGTGCGGCGTCAGGGCTCCAGCCATGATTTGTGCTCGCTTGGCGACGAGGTACAGAGTGTCGCTCACGGACAAGACTCCGGCCACGCACAAGGCCGCGTATTCGCCCAGGCTGTGGCCCAAGACCATGGCTGGCTGGATGCCCCAGGAGCGCCAGAGCTTGGCCAGGGCCAGTTCCAAGCTTACCATGGCCAGCTGTACCTGCACAGTATCCGGGCCTGACTGTGGCGCGGGTGTGCTGCTGTCTGTGATGAGATGCAGGAAATGGGGGAGGCCTTGAGCGCTGGCCATTGTCTGGTAGTCGTGGAGCGTATTGCGGAATGTGGCAGACGTCTCCCACAAGTTTGCCCCCATGCCGACATAGTGTGCGCCTTGGCCGGTAAATGTGAAGACTACCGTCGGTGTTGCCGGAGGCTGACGTGGTGTTTTCCCCTGGGCGAGATCCGTCTCCAGGCATTGCACGACCTCGTCAATGGAAGATGCGGCGATGGCGTACCGCAATAACCCATGAATGCGTCGAGCGCTTGTGCTATAGGCCAAGTCGGCCAGTTTGGTGCCCGGATGTTGGCGCAGATGAGCCAGATATCTCTCTTTGATGCTAATAAGTGACTTCTGGGAACGGGCTGAAAACGTCACGACGTGGTGACCTCGAGGGTCTGCATCCTTGACGGCTCGTGGCGGAGCTTCTTCAAGCAGCAAGCACGAATTTCCTCCCTAAAACGCATCGTGTAAGCCTGGGCATCACGCGTGACTGACCTCGAGGGTTCGTTCTTACCGAGGCGTCGAAGCTGTTGAGAAACACGCGTAGCGTGCCCTTGGCCACTGGACTGGCCTCCAGTCTCATATTGCGGGCCGCGATGTATACATTACGGGCTGCTAGATCAGGAAAGCGGTGGTTAATAGGTCCAGGAAGATCAGGCTGGGGGGGAATCTGTCGAGACTGAAGCATCATGAGGGTTTTGATAAGAGCGCAAACACCGGCCGCCTATAGAGCATGAGCACAGGAATCTTTCCAAAGACATTCTTGTCAGAAACTTACAGCCTCCCCGTGGCCAATATTTGCCTTGAGGGCCCCAACAATGAGCGGATTATCGGAGCCTCGCTTTTCTGCAAAAGTTGACAAGACCGAGGACATTTCCATAAAGTCTCCGGCCTGTGTCCCAGTTCCATGCATCTCCACGTACGAGATGCTGTTGGCCTCTACACCGCTTTGCTCCAGCACATCGCAGTACAGCTTTTTCTGAGCATTTGCCGAGGGATGCATCATGGAAGAAGCATCACTGCTGTAGTTGCGTCCGGATCCCCGGACGACGCCGAGGATGTTGTCTTGGTCGTCCAGCGCGTCCTCCAACCGTTTGAGAACGACCACGCCAACTCCCTCTCCACGGACGTAACCGTCGGCATTGTCGTGGAATGTCTGGCACCCTCCATGAGCGGACAGGAAACCGCCACGGCTTAACCCCGAGAAGGGTGATGGGGAGAGGAGGAGGGATCCTCCACCAGCCAGAGCCATGTCGCATTCGCGGCCGAGGAGCGCCGAGCACGCTAAACCGACGGCTGCGATGCTGGAAGAGCAGGCCGAGTCGACGCTATAAGACGGACCTCCCCATTTGAAGTGGTGGTGCAGCCTGCCTGGTCCGAAAGCGCGGCAGCTTCCCGTGGCGAAGTAGATGTCTACCCCTTGGTGGACCACCACCTCTCGCCAATCATCAGACGTCTGGCCAAAGAAGGAGGCGACGCGGTCCTTGTTTGTCGAAAGCGTGCCATCGGGATAATAGCCCGACATCTCCAGTGCCTCGTAGCTGGTTGTCATGAGCAGCCGGTGCTGGACGTCTGTCTGCATGGCCTCCCTGGGCGACATGTCGAATAAGCGGTTGTCGAACATGCCCGGCTTGTCAAGGAAGGCTCCTGTCCGCGCCATGGTAGAGTTTTTTTGTTTTCCCGTGGCATCGTACCATTGCTCCAGGTCAAATCGTGTATTTGGAATCTGCCATGAGTGAGTGACGCTGCGGAATATGAAAATAGGGGCAAGAAGGACTGCATAGACTGAATCTGACCTCTTGGATATATCTTTTGCCCTCCAAAAGACCCTCCCAAAATGCGTTGATGTCGCCGCTCCCTGGGAACCTCCCAGACATGCCGACGACAGCCACAAGGCCTGAACCCTGTCGGCTGGGACCCGACGACAAATGGTCCCCGTGTGACATGACGGAATACTCTATGCCGCGTTTTTGCAGTAATTTTTGAAAGTAGACGTCGTGGCTCGTGTAGCCGGGCATGACAAGACGGATCTTGTCTGCCTGTGCGAGCTCAAGAGCCGCGTTCATTGACGTGGCCAAATTCAACGTCCTCTGCCCGACATCTGCAATGATTTCCTCCAGAAGCCCTCGCAACGTCTTCTGCTGCCGCGGTTTGCACGTGTAGGGCGAGATTATGGTGGCCGTGTGCACGGGGGCCCGGTCCAGCCATGGCGATGAGCCAAGAATCCGATCCGGGTCAACTTCTGGCAACGTCTCCATGTGCACGCCTCCGCGGGCGTCAGTGTCGATTTGCGGAGCGTCTTCCAACTCTGCCGACCATTCCAAAAGCCGTTGCAGAGTTGTGGGAGGGCCAAAGAGTGTCAACCAGCCATCTGAGACGAAGCCAATGCAGACTTGTCGCGCGCGAGGAATAGACTGTGAGAACCAATACAGTAAGCAAACGCTGAATCACGCGGCAGGTGGGAATTTGGGACTTGCATGACTGACCTGGTTCTCGTGGAAGTCTTGTAGGATTTCCCGGACGCGATCGACTGAAATGCCCAGTATTGTCCGGGCCCAGGGGCCGTTGGTACGGTCAACCATGAGAGACCGGCGATTGAGTTCGCGGGCCATGCGAAAGATGATGTGTGTCACCTCGACTCCCAGCTCGACAAGTTCGTTGGTGTCCTGCGCGACGGCGGCCACAGCAGCGGCCACCTCGCCGGTGCAGAATCCCAGAATACAGTTGCGGTTGCCTTTGGAGGCGAGAACGGTAGGGTCTTGCTCTGCATATCTAGTTTGGACATTGTCAGCCGACACGGAATGATAGCAAATGGCATGGGATTGTTTCGCCAGCGTACAGAATGAGCTCTCCCAGACGTGCGATATTCATCAAGACGGTGGCAATGATCTCGTTGGGCTCCTCCAGCCGGGCATTGTTCTCGGCTAGTCGAAGGATACTGTCGAAGTTCCCAATGTTGCTGCGTTGCTCCGAGTGCAGAGGCAGCTTGCTTACCTGGAGCTGTACCGCATCGCACAATTGACGCAGGAATCTCTGGACAAGAGGTGAGGACGCGCCATGGCTCACCAGGTGCCGAATGGCTGGGAGCTTCTCTACGGTCTGATCCCCAAAGAGGAGGAAGTTTGCGACACGCAGTTTCATGGTTGAGTATAGGGTGTTTGAGGGGCCAAATGCTGCATAGGGAGTTTGTGTCGTACTAAATTCCTCCAAGGTGGTCTTGATGTGCTGCTCAAAGGATCTAGGGCAGAGTGCAATTGGTGGATGATGAGAGAAGGGCGAGTCTGAGAATCAAATCGCCAAGTTCTAGGTAAATAGTCTCTACCACGATATATTATCTAACCAACAAGCACTGCCTTGTATGGGGCAATTCGGCTCGGGTGCCGCCAATTCCCCCTTATCCTTTCAACGGGATCGTAGAGTGTCCGGGCACCGAGCGTTCGAGCACTGGGTACGGAGCACGAGTCGAGGCGTCATTTGATATGGTCTGGCGTTGACGAAAAGCAGTCAAGTCCGAGCCAGTCACCGGTCCATGTCTCGGCGAGATTTTCACGTTTGGTTGTGCAAGTGTCGATAACCACCAAGGGACCATGTGTGCATGTGCAGTCCCTGTTGTTTTCTGTTTTAGCTCGGTGAGTTTTCTAGGCTCCATAAAACAAGGTATTAGGGACCACGTAGGTCTGAGCATCTCGGACCGTGCTTCAGATGATTGGGGTGTACAGAGAAGCCGGTGTTTTCTCACACACCAACGGGGCACACGCCGGTTTGGGGCAAATTTGCAGGGGCCATGTTGCAAAAAACGGAGGAGAGTAGTCATTCTATTCTTAGTTTCTATTCTACTCATCAGACTGTGAGGCATGCCTTGGGCACGACTGCAAAGGCATCGCGCATGCCAAAGAAAGGGATAGACACTCGGCCCAAATCAGGTAATAACTTGTATTGCTACATGTAATCAATGTCATGCCAGGGCTCGGGGCCCCCTTTTCAGAACAGGAGAGGTACAAGCATATCTTTTTTGGCTAGAATTTCTGGTGGCTCGTGCAAAGGAGCGTTGGCCGCCGGTGCAAGCATCGTCGTGGCTTCACGTGTGGTGACGTGATCGTCTCCGCGTGGCGCCTCGTGCTTCAGTTGGAACTAGGCACTAGTACAAATCTAGTATAGGCATCGAATCAACTGCATTTTTGGGCATGGAACGTATCATGCCGAAGACGCATAAACCCTTGAATTTGCCACTTTGAACTGGCATGGTCCACGAGGTTTTGACGCTTGTCGTGGCCCGGTCGTTGCGATGTCTAAGCGACCTTGGCGTTAAATATTCTTACATGTATGTACAAAACTGCTCTCCATATAAAACCGCTCTTTATGCATAAGAGTACCGTATTATGTGAAACGAATTGAAATATATATAACTATATACATGTGTGTACTCTTTACTATAAAACTACCAAGTATTATATAATATCCAAGACGAGGCATATTGCCGCGGCAAAAAGCTGTCAACACGACGCACCGTGTTTCTAGAAGGCAATCGACCCATGTCACATGTCAAGGATCCGCGGCTAGAAGTGGGTTCACGCTAAAACACATGGGGACATGTGGGGTGCGGAGTGTGTCAGGCCCTTCAATGTTATCCCAGAAAGCGGGGATGGTCAGTTCCAGGGCACTGGGGTCATCAACTAATCAGGCAATAACTTGACGGTTAAATGGTACCTTAATTTGTTCAAGAATTAGCAGGTAACAATCGTACCAGCAACCCTATCAGCTATAAATAATTACAAGACGTTCAAGTTTATTTTTATTCAAAAACATGTACTAGCTTTGTTTCTCACGATGTGTGGGGCAGGGGGGCTCCCACCAGGCTTGTCGTGTCTCGAGATGGCTCATAGCATCGCGAGCCGCAGACTTGGTAGTATGGCCGTCAAGAGTGAAAACAAAAATTAAATTATGACACCATGTAAACGGATATCAAATTACCAACACTCCCATGTTATTCCGTATTAGGCAAAGAAGAAACCGGCGCTGGCGTTTAGGGTAGGACAAGACACGGCCTGCGTACTACCTTTGCCTTTGTTAATCTAATGAATTCTATTGCAAGTAGAACTCAGATGTTACCCTACAGTGTGCATTGAGTGATGGAATGTGAAGAATTAGGTAATATTAGACGGGCCCGGACGTGGGAAGGCTATATTTGTGCGAAAATAATAACACAAACCCATGTAGCTAGAAAATCTCCTCTAGATATTCACGACATTATACAAGAAGCTAAATTTTATCAAGAAACTGAATTTACAAGCTATCTATTTGTCAATGCACTGTTTTTGCATTTTCCAACTCCCGAAGCGCTTCCTCACAGTGCGCCAATGCGTCGAATCTCAAAGTAAAAGAGCATCAGTGCCAACTCATAACACGCAACATGTATAGGAGTGACTTACCGAGCATCGTGAACCAGCCGGCCAAGGAATGAGTTGGGTACTAAACGCCATCATTATATCAGCATCTACTTCAACTCTAGGCAGTTAGGGGCTGCACGTACGCGGCACTCCAGGCTCCATGTATTGAGCGATCTGGTCTTGGACAAGATGTTCGTTGTTGGCGCGGACGCTGGACAGAATCTGGATCCGCGAGGCCCGCCGCACCCGAAGCTTGTCAAAGAGCTCCAGACGTTGAGTAAGTCCTGTGGCATCTTGGACGCCGGCGAGGACACGACCCAAGACGCCGCCGTCCTCGATGGCTTGGTTGGAGCCCTGTCCGCCGAATGGAAGCATCTGTAAACAAGTTCCAAGTCAGAGACGTCGACTATGGCTATTCATGAAACCTGGCACTCTTACCGGATGAGCAGCGTCGCCAATCAATACGGCTTTGCCAAATGTCCAGGATGACAGCGGCTTCATCGAGAAGAGCGGCCAGCACTTGGTGTCCTTGGCGTCCCTGGCAATAGTAGATTGGTCAGTCAATGTTGTGGGACAAGGGCTAGGTGTAAAGAGCACATGTTACCTGAGAATCTGTACAACATCTGTGTCGAAATGCCCAAACTGTCGCAACATCTGAGCCTGCACATCTGGGGCCGCATCCGCATCCGACGTGTCCAGCGACGGATGTATCCCTACAAAGTTCTGAACAGCGCCACTGTATTCATCACCATCAGCCTCTGCACCGCAATATTCGCCTTCACATACGACCTACTCTCGACAGGGATACCACATGATGTGCCGCTCCTTGTCCACAAGCTTGGTGTCGGCCAGCAAGCAGGCACCAGGGGTCTTCCACGCCAGCAGCTTGCGCCCAGACGCAGTGGCCTGCAGGTCCTCGGTCGCGACGAGAAAGCGAAAAGCGCTCTGGCCCGTCGCCACGAGGCCGATGGGCTCGGCAAGGCCGGCGCCGCGAGCCACTGCATCGCGCACGACAGAACGCAGGCCGTCAGCGCCCACAACGAGGTCGGCATGCCTGACGGTCCCGTCTGCAAACTCAATCCGCCCCTCCTCGGCGTCCACCCTTGTCACGGGCGAGGCAAGCTGAAGCAGGATGCCGTCTGTTTGCTGGCCCGTTGCTGGCCCTCGCGCCTCAGAGACGTTGGCCAGCCTCATGAGTTCGCTGTGCAAGTCTACCCGGTGAACGGCGAAGAAGGGAGCGCCAAACTTGTCGGCGGCGGCGTGCAAATCCTGGCAGGCAATTCTGCCAAGGTCTATGCCGCTGACGGTGTCCCAGTTGACCATCTGGACGGCCTTGGCCCGTTTAAAGTCAAAGCCGAGATGTTGGAGTACCCGGACGCCATTTGGCGTCAGGTTCAAGGCTGCGCCAATCTCGCCAGAAAAGGCTGATGCTTCGTAAATCTACCGCAGGGAAAATCGTCAACCGTCATTATCTTCAAAAATGAATGTACATGCATGTGCCCACATACCTGAACACGATGGCCGCTGCGGCGGAGAGACACGGCCGCGGTCAACCCGGCGATGCCCGCGCCGATAATGGCAATGTCCAGGGGCATGGTTTGTGGCGAAATCTGAGGAGACGGTTCGGAGCTGCTGTTTCTCCTCGTCGCCTGTAATTCCAAGAGGAAAAAAATAAATGAAATGAAATAAACGCCTACACCATTTGAACTCCTATTTGTTCATGGCGGCCCATGTCGTTTCTTCGCGAAGTGCTTGGTGTGCGTGGGTGTTCGGAGCCAAGTCCCACCCCCGTCCCCGGGACACGTCGGCGTTCAATTGTTGTTTCTCGGAGGCTTTTGGTTCGGATGGGATTGACAGGATTGATAAGGGCACGCCCCCTGTGAACAAGCTTTTGCCCATGCGAAGAGCCAATCTGGTTTGATTCAGGTCAGCCAGCAACGGCTTGTCCCACAAACATTCCAAGCCACCGTTATTTAAATGGGCTGGTTTGCCCAACAAAGCATCTAAAGCCTGCTTTCGAGCTTCTTAAGCACCACTAGCGTGTAGTTCCCGTCATACACGGCCTGAATTCATGCCCTCTGGTTCGTCGTCGCGCGCACTGGCCTGGCACCTGAAATGTTGTCTGTACGACAGCACATCCAAGGTCCATGGTGTTCCTTGGTGCCGGCGACGTCCGGGTCTTGCTGTTCAATGTTGTGCTTGGGGATGCGCCAAAATGTAAACAAGACTGCGGTTGGGGCCCTTCAGGCTTGTGTCACACATTGAGCTGAGCCCGGATGCGCAATATCCGAGAAATCATGACCTTCGATACACTCAGGTGACAACTGTGCGCGATAGATAGTCTTTGTGGCATTATAGGCATCGTCGTAGCGCATATTCTTTTTACGCTCATGGCAGTACATCAGAAGAGCACGCTGCGTATGACTAGAATTGTGATTTAAAATGAAGTGGTGCCATGAGGAATTGTTTTCACACCCAAACAATGCTAATTAGTGATTAATACAACTTTGGGCTACATTTAAAACAATCCCCTAACTCTTCAACTAGAAATTCTATACCGCTTCTATTTTTTACGGCAAAGTATACATCTAATCGTAAAATTTCTGGTATGGTGAAGATGTCATTGTTGGAGTCAACTCCACGTCCTTGGTCATAAACATGGTCGTCCTTTTCGACCGCGGAGGTCGCTCGGGGGAATAGCTACCAGTAAGAATGTCCATGCGGCTCACCCTTCGAGGTCTCGGAGGGAGAAAGCCATCCACGTACTCTGGAGGCACTTGTGGCAAGTCCTTGTTGTCGTGGGCAAAAGGCTGCTCACTGCAGGCCGGGTACAGCAACGCAAATACAGGCCCCTTCTTGTTCATGCCTCTAGAGGTGAGAATATCGTAGCGGACACCAAGCTTGCCAATTTCTCTTTCAATGTCTTCTGGCGTCCATAACCCACGCTTGGGGCATCCATTCCAAGAGTAGTCTCCTGGTCCACTTGACCCATTGGGAATGTGATAGATTTGATCAATGCGGAAGAAGGCATATGCGGCGACCACCAAGTACTCGAGAATAAACTGCGTAGTGTACAGCGAGGCTTTGCTGAACAACTGCTCGGGGCCGTTGTGGTTGAAGGCTATGGTTAGCCTCACGGCGGCTCCAACCGTCATGACGGAGGCACTAAAGACGAGCAAACTTGCTTTGGCGCGGAAATCACCAGTGCCAAAGTTCTCGGGTGTCGGGCCCGGCTTGGAGCTCGCGATGAACAACCACAAGAGAGGCGTGACAACCAGCATCATGTTCCAGCAGGCGCCTACCTGCAGCACCGTCTCAGCCCCTTGCGCCCGGGCGGGTACCAGGAAGTTGACGCAAACAGCAATAATGTTCATGATGGTCACGGCCGGGCAGGTCCAGATGAGGAACAGGGAGTAGCGGCTGAAGACGGGGTGCCAGCCGATGGAAGGATGCATGGCTCGAATGAGGCGCTGCGCAAAAAAGAGGTTGACGGCGAAGACGACGACGGCGCTGAGACACATGGCGATCAGTCTGGTGCTATAGGAGATGGCAGGAGATGGATTCATGAAGACTTACCCGCCGTTTTGGAAGACATTGGCGACCAGGACGATGCCGGGCGCCTGGAGGCCGATAAAGGCCCAGAGAATGCGAAAGAGGCAGGTGGTGACCCGGACCATGCAGAAGTCGAACATGAGACTCGAGAGGAGGAACTTGTGGCCGCGCTTGGCGTTGGCCTTGTAGACGCTGATGTGCAAGTAGGCGCCCAGGGAAAACAGGACGAGAAAGACGATTGTGACGGGAACGTCGAGCGTGGGCGTTGGAATGCCTCCCAGGAACTTCTTCATCTCGGGCGGCGGCATCTCCATCTGCCCCCCAGCGAGGGCCGGCTCGCTGGGAAGGACTTGTGCCGACATGTTGACAAGTGATGCCGTCGACGATGGCCTTGTGTTGTTACGGCTCGCCAGGCCGTTGGCAGTGTTTGATGAGTGGCAGTCTTGCGGCTGAACAAGGCGGCACTACACGATAACGTGCTGTGGTAAGTACGGTGAATCGACGGTATACATATCAGTTGATATAAAGCCGGGGCTTCATCTCGCCCAAATTAGCGCCATCAGAGCACAAAGAGTCTTCATGTTGGGAGCCCTATCTATGAAACACTGGGCCGTGGTATCTTGTGGGGGTCAAGGTCCATGTTTCTGCGTGTTTTGCATGTCGGCAACGATCTGTGCCTGGCCGGGCATCCTGGTCTCGGGTAGGGCCGCCCCACCCACGCCCCAGTCACGCCCCACGTCACGCCGGAGTCCCAGTCTTGCGCATCGTGGACGCATCACTCAGTTCAAACGTCGAGTGCACGGCCAAACAACACGGACCTGACATGTGGTGGCTTGCACAATCCCTGTCTACGACCCATGCCGACGATCTTCCATCTTGCAGCTGCAGCAAGATGCGTGGCATGTTGTGGGCCGTCGCAGATGCCTCCACGTCTGTCACTCTTGGCGTCTGGTCGATTGCTTCCATGTCAACCCGTCTCCTAAAATACCTTGGACCCGCCTTTTGATTCATCGCCATGGGCATCATCGCGTCAAGGCTCCAAATTCCAACGGCACTGCCATCAACCCCGAATCAACACAGATGGCCGACATCAAGCAGGACATGCAGCAGTCTCGGAGCCCATCCTCGTGCAGGATGCGATCAGCCTGCGACTCGTGCCACCAGAGCAAAGTCAAGTGCAGTGGTGGGAATCCGTGCAGCGGATGCCACAAGTTGGGCGCGCGCTGCAACTACAGCTCGTCAAACCGCACCGGACGGCCCCGAGGCATCAAGAACAAGGTGACACGTCAACGCCTGCGAGCACACGCGCGGGAAGCCGCCGGCGCAGATGGCGAGCCGCCCGCTTCCAGCTTGAGCTCGACGCCTGCAGCATCCACGTCGGCCGATTCCACGGCGTCTTCGTCTCCGTGTCATCTCCCAACAGACATGGAAATCAACGCCCCCGAATGGAGGGGCTTCCATGCGCATCAGATGGATGCCCTGCTGGTATGTGTTCTTGGATGCTTTGGATATCCTCGGCCTCTGACTGTAAACAGATGGGTTGTTTAGATCCAAGCTCTGCCGATGTAGATGATGCCTCCAACGCCACAGGGCTCATCTACACCGCGAGTTCATCGCAATACTCTCTGCCTCCGTCTGTGGCACTGCCCGTTCCGCAGAGGCAGCCGCTCTTTGAAGATGCCCACCACCTACGCAGCCCCTTGTCCTCTTCCCGCTGTCGACAGCCATGTGCGTCTTGCGACTGCCTGCAACAACTGGCGGCTCTGTTTGTGCAGCTCAAAGTCCACGCCCGACGTGGCGGGCCCCTACAGGCAGCCGTGGCCATCTCCCACGTCCGCGAGGGCGTGTCGGCATGGAAGCGCCATTTACAGTGCGCCGCCTGCATGGAATCGGCTGACAGCGACACGCTCCTCCTGTGCATCGTCGAGATCCGCATGGTACTGCCCATGATGGAATGGATAAGCAATAATCTGGATCTGAGCGGCCAGGTTGCCTTTTCTCTCCAGGCGACCCCCGTGAGTGGCTCATGTCAAATGCCCGTGGCTTACGAGCTGGCCCGGGGCGAATCCCAAGCCATTATGCGCACTCTGCTCTTGCGCAGCATGGACTCTGTCGTTGATGTCCTGGCTGAGATTCAAGAGCGCACCTCTCCAATGAAACGGCCCGGCGGGTTGCCCCCTGCGTTTGAGTTGCACACCCCTCAACCGTCACCCTCATCTCTATCAAGTCCGGGTTGTAGCCAGCTACTTTCAGTTTTAGAGCCCCCAGGAGGAACGCAGGGCCTTTTTGGACAGCCGTTGCAAAGTTTGTTAGAGTCGGCAGAGAATCTGCAAAAGAGAATTGCCATAGAGTAGTAGCGAAGCACTGAATAGCAAAATTCCTGTGTACAACAATATTCAAACAGCTGAGAAGACATGTCGCGGTTTTACTGCGTTATGCATAGTTGCTATCAAGTAATTGTTGAGTCAAAAAGGGCCAAAATTGAGGTTACATGTATCGTCAGGGGTCCCAAGGGGCTTGCAGGCCCCCCGACCGGGTAGAAAAGGGGCCGGGTCAAATTTGCAGAATTTCAACAATCAACTCAATTGCATCATGATCATCATCAATAAAAAGCTATCAATCAAGGCCCTAAGTGGCCTCCCAAGTACCATCGTTTTCCACTGCGCAAATTGCTCCAAACTCAACAGTAATGTCTGGTTCGATATTCTGATAAACTCTCTGCGTTTTCAGTGCTCTCATCCAACACGCATCTACTCAGTGCTGCTCTATTAAACTGCAATGCTAGGCTCCTGCCGGCCCGCCGGACTTGAATCTATGTCTACATTAACCATGCTTATTAAAAACCCTCAAGATCTAACACACACTTATATCATGACTGGCTCACTCGCTGCCAGTGCGCCTGTCGGTCAGAGCCGATGCCAATCACGGCATCACGCAAGAGATCGCTCATCTGGGCCACCTGCGACTCGACTTAGTGGAAATACATTTTTGGGCCGCGTGTCAGAATACTTACATGAGGCTTGTTAATCATGGTGAAGTGCGTCCCCGATTGCGTCGCAATAGCCATGTCCTTGCTGGGCAGCAGGTCGTCCCATCCATTCGGCCCCAGGTCATCCTTGCCCTGCAGCAGAAATCGGGACACCTTGACGCTCGTGTCGAGTCCAGACCTGGCCAGCGCGTCTTGATCCAGCACGCCGTCTCGGCTCCAGATGATGTACGTCTGCATCTCGCCAGCCGAGTCGATGGGCCGCGGGCGGTACTTGCCCACGGCGGCCAGCGTCGAGCGGAAATGCTGCACCAGCCACTCGGGCATCTCCGGAGAGCCCCAGTTGCCCATGAGGTTTCGAGAGGAGAGGTAGTTGACGACCTCCATGGACAGGGACTCAAAGACGGTGCGGCACGGCGAGTCTATCAGGATCAGCTTGGCGACGGCGTGTCCGTCTTGCAGGAGGCGCTTGGCCACTTCGTACGAGTAGTAGCCTCCGGCTGACCATCCGCCGACAATGTACGGCCCCCGTGGTTGGCGGCGGTAGACTTCACGGACCCATTGCGATGCCAGGTCTTCCACGGAGCAGCGGTACGAGCCGGCGTCGCGCAGGTACGGGCTGTTCATGCCGACGATGCAGACGGCCGGGTGGACGGGCGGGAGATTGGCGTACGCCATGGCCGAGCCGCTGCCGTCCGGGAGGAGGAACACCGTGTGCCGGCTCGACGCCGGGTTGTTTTGCAAGACGATGGACAGCGGGACAGAGGACGACGGCACGCGCTTCAGCTTGGGCGGCGCGGGTGCCGCGACGGGAGCAATGTCCAGGTGAATAGGGGTCTCGTAGAAGCGGCGGAACGCACCAACCGTGGGCTTCTGGTCAAAGATGTCTCGTGGGAGAGGCTCTCCACGAGGCCCTCTCAGGTGCGCCAAGATGGCCGTGGCGAGGATCTGATTGATGCCGAGCGTGAGAAACGCCGTGTCGTCCGTCTCGATAATCTCGGCGGGCTCCAGCCCGCTCTCCTGCGCAATGATGTTGAGCGCATCTTGCCACACGGTGACGGCCATGACGAAAGGATGTAGGTGACTGAATGATGTTGAGGGAAATAAACAATGATGGATGGTATGATTCTTGCAAGTTGTCAGGGCCGGGGCTGGCACATGGTCTCGACATTATACATGTTGACAACTCGCAAGAATGCATGTCGACTGGGACTGGTATTTCTTCCAGAGATTGCCAAAATTAGACATTCGACGCGACGTTTGAACAATGCACCCCGGGCGTGACAAGCCGGCGGCCGACTCGCCGCACACCATGAGCAACCTGAAACGAGCAGTACCTGAGTGTTTGGGCCCCATGAAATGCCGACGGCGAGTTTTTGGAGGCTCCAGCTTTTTCAGCCGGGCTTCGGGAACATGGAATGCCCCGTGCCTGTTTTCATCTCGTCGGAGCCTGTTGCTTGCACGCCACCAGAGAGAGTTCCGGCCCAGACGGCTCACGGACTCAGCGTCGAGGCGGGGCCGTGGCCGTGCGACATCTGTCCGGGCGACCGACGGACATGGAACCACGAGGACCATGTGGACGCTATGAAGGCTGTGGATTGGCGATGTGCACGATAGGCACGACCTGCGAGACATGGCTGGCTCAAATAAAAGTCGCGGGTGCTGCTGGGAACGCCGTGTTTGTTGATGGGTATATCTTCATGTTCAGCAATCCCCGACTTGCATCCCTTTCCTCTTCATTACCCTCGTCTTCCCTTGTATTGCCTGGTGTTTGAAAACATTGTTCATTGTTGCCTTGCACACAGTCCGCTTGGTACGGACTTGCACCATGCAAGCGCCAGCACCATCAAGAGACGACATTGCCGTCGTCGGCTTGTCGTGCCGCTTCCCGGGCGAAGCAGATACCGCCGAGCACTTTTGGGATTTCATCTGCAATGGACGTAGTATGTACCGTGCCCGCCATGCTTCATGCTGGACCCTGCCACTGACGACGAGACAGATGCATACTCTGAGAATCCGGATCGGTGGACGCCGGATGCTTTTCACTACGGTGAGAAAAAGATCAACACCAGTCTGCCCCGAGGAGGGCATTTCATGAAGCAAGATGTGGCCGCCTTTGACGCCAACTTCTTCAACCTCTCCAAGGTCGAGGCCGAGTCCATGGACCCCCAGCAGCGCATCATCATGGAGGTGACGTACGAGTCCATGGAGAGCGCCGGCCTCCGCGTCGACCAGCTCGCGGGCTCGCGGACGGGCGTCTTCATGGCCAGCTTCACGAGCGACTACCGCGAGATGCTGTACCGCGATGCCGAGACGGCGCCTCTCTACACCGCAACGGGCACCAGCAACACGTCGACCTCGAACCGCGTCTCGTGGTTCTTCGACCTGCGCGGGCCCAGCTTCACCGTCAACACGGCCTGCTCGTCCAGTCTGGTCGCCTGCCATCTCGCCTGCCAAAGCCTATGGAGCGGCGAGACGGAGAGCGCCATTGTCGGCGGCACCAGCCTGCTGCTGAACCCCGACATGTTCCTGTACCTTTCCAACCAGCAGTTTCTGGCCCCCGACGGCCAGTGCAAGAGCTTTGACGAGTCGGGCGACGGCTACGCCAGGGGCGACGGCATCGGCGTCGTCATTCTGAAGCGAGTTGCCGACGCCCTCCGCGACGGCGACCCGATCCGCGCCGTCATCCGTGGCAGCGGGTGCAACCAGGACGGCCATACAAAGGGCTTCACCATCCCCAGCGTCGAGGCGCAAGCCTCCCTCATTGCAGAAACGTACCGCAACGCCGGTCTCTCGCTTGCAGAGACGCGCTACGTCGAGGCTCACGGAACGGGCACCCAGGCCGGCGACACGCGTGAGATGGAAGGCATTGCCCGCACATTCAGCCAGCACCGCACGGCGTCGGACGAGCTGCTAGTGGGATCAGTCAAGGCAAATATCGGACATCTCGAAGCCTGCGCGGGACTGGCCTCGCTCATAAAGTGCGTCTACATCCTGGAAACGGGCGTGATACCCCCGACGCCGAGCGTCCGCGTCTTGAACCCCAAGATCCGCTGGGAGGAATGGCATCTCAAGGTGCCTGCGACACAAACAATTTGGCCGACCGAGGGCCTGCGGCGGATCAGCACCCAGGGTTTTGGATATGGCGGTACAAACGCACATCTGATTCTCGACGACGCGGCCCATTATCTCGAGGCACGCAAACTCAGGGGCCACCACTACACCCGTACACATCCCCAGACACGGAGACTTTTGACCTCGGCAATGCATGAAGCCGTGTCAAACGACCAGCCGCCACGGTTATTTCTGTTCCGCGCAAACGATCGCGAGGGCCTGGGGCGCGTCCGCTCGTCGCTGGCCCAACATCTCGAGCAGCTCCTCAAGTCGTGGCCGCAGGATTCGAGAGACGGCGGCGCATACCTACACAATCTGGCCTTCACCCTGGCCAGTCGACGGTCCCATCTCCAATGGCAGACGTACGCCACGGCCTCGACGCCCTCGGAGCTGCTCCAAGCGCTCCAGCACGAGGGCGGCGCGTGGGCGGCTCCCGAGACTCGCCTCGCCGCCTCGCCCCCCCGGCTCGGCTTCATCTTCACCGGCCAGGGCGCGCAGTGGGCTCGCATGGGCGTCGAGCTGATGGCGTACCCCGTGTTCCGCCAGAGCGTCGAGGCTTCGGACGAGTTTCTGCGCAGCGCCCTCGGGTGCCCCTGGTCTGCCGTCGACGAGCTGGCCAAGCCGCCGGCCACGTCGCGGCTCTCCGAGGCGGCCTACAGCCAGACGCTCTGCACGGTTCTCCAAATCGCCACCGTCGACCTGCTCGAGGACTGGAACGTCTGTCCCACGCGCGTGGCCGGGCACTCGAGCGGCGAGATCGCCGCCGCCTACTGCCTGGGCGCCCTGACCAAGCACGACAGTCTGCGGGTGGCCTACTACCGCGGGATTCTGTCCTCGGAGATGCAGCAGACACACGGGGATCGCAAGGGAGCCATGATGGCCGTCGGGGCTTCCCCCGAAGAGGTCGAGGCGTGGCTGGCCAAGCTGACCCGAGGACGAGTCGTCGTCGCCTGCATCAACTCGCCGACCAGCGTCACGGCATCCGGGGACGCCGCGGGCATCGACGAGCTTCTCGCCATGGTCCAACAGGCCGGCGTGTTTGGGCGCAAGCTGCAGGTGGACGTGGCCTATCACTCTCACCACATGCAGTCGGTTTCTTCCGCGTACGCTGAGCTCCTCAAGGATCTTGCGCCGCTGCCGGCGCGTCCGGGACGCACCATGCACTCGAGCGTCTTGGGCCGTGTCATCGACGCCGCGGAGCTCGGCTCCTCCAACTGGGTGCAAAACCTCGTCTCCCCGGTGCGCTTCTCCGAA